ATAAAATCCTGATGGAATGTCCGCAGGAAGTTTCGCAGAACGAGACGATGCAAAAAAGATGTTGCAAAGTATTGCAAGATATTCCAATTGATTGCCTATTGTCTCAACATTTGTAAACCTGGTAAATGCGTAACCAAACACACAACACATCCCAACACTCAAACTTTGAAGCCTCCTGAACTGTTCCATGATCAAAGTGTCCATGTATGCTGCCAGGTGACCTGCCAGATTCTGACGGTTGTCCCTTTGGATGGCAACTTGCACGCGCTCATGTTGCCACAGGTGGGTCACAAAATGGCGCAACTGATTGAGTTGAAAATAGCTGAAGTGGCAGTTGTTGGACTAACATGAACTAATTACATTACTTTGCATTACTGCATGGCCGCTGCTGTTGCTGCTGCTGAAGCTGCTGCAGCAGCAGCTGCTGCTGCTGCTATTTATTGTACTTGTGGGTTCAAGGTGCAGATGTCGTTGTCGTTGCGGGTTATGGTTTGCCAGCTACCTCAAAGAGTTTCTTCTGTCTACCACTTCCAGTAAGCCACCATATCTGTCGATTTCAGCGTCAATGCGCACAGGAGTCCACAATGGAATTCCTGAACAGACTCGGGACCCAGACAGTTACATAATAGTTGTACATGTGATATAGACGTATGTATGTAATATAATACGTGTATATATATATATACAGTATATACATGAGTTATTTGCTTGTGTATATATATATATGCATATGTATATTTATAAATATATATATATGTATAAATATATTCATGTATATTTATATAAATGATATTCACTTTATACGGCTTCATCATAACCTTACTTTATCGAGCTACTGCGACTTGGGAACGTATGCTGCATATGGCGTTTCAGCAGTGATCGGGACACATTGCCACGCCAGGCCGATCCTTCTGAGGTGCAGTGCTTGGATGATCTTGGATGTGGGACCGATGGTTGGGAAAGACTCAAGAAATGCACAAAATGTTACATAATATTACATAGTACTACATAATATTACAGTACATTACAGTACATTACAGGACATTACAGTACATTACAGGACATGACAGGACATTACAGGACATTACAGGACATTGCAGTACATAATACATGCATATGTATATTATATATTTGCATGTATGCATGTATGTATGTTACTGTATGTATATGCAATGAATGATATAAATGCATGACAAAAGGTGTCATTTATCCATGGGTATCGATGATGGTAGACGATAGGTGAGTGGGATCTAGATAACCGAAGGAAGTTTAGAAGTCAAACAGTCAAACTTCCGACTTATGGGTAGGTGCAGCAACAGCGGTGAAAGCAATCAGAGAACATAAGACTCAGAAGAGAAAAAGTCAAAAGGTAGAAGATCAAGGTGCGCGAAAAGGTAGAAACGTCGCAAAACACTGTGTGTTTCCAATGTTTTGTGCCTCCAGAGGGTGAAAAGTTAAAAACTGACAGTCTCGGACCTTTTTTGTACGTTGAGATATCGAAAAAGCGCACGCAACTACAACAACAGCTACAACTACACGACACTACAACTAACTACAACTACAACTACAACTAGCTACAACTACAACTGTAACTACAACTACAACTACACCCACACTTACACCTACACCTACTACTAGAACTAGAACTACCACTGCAACACAACTACAATTACAACTGCAACTGCGCCCACACTTACACTTACACCTATGCCTACAACTACAAGTACAAGTACAACTACAACTATAAGTACACTACAGCTACAAGTACAACTAAGACTACAACTCACACTACACCACACCACACTACATCACATTGCACATTACATTACAAAACACGACACGACACGACACCACACCCACACTGACGCATACAACTACAACTGCAACCACACTACACTACACCCACACTTACGCCGACAACTACAACTACAACTACAACTACACTACACCCACACTTACGCCCTCAACCACGCCTACAACTACAACTAGAACTACTACAACTACAAGTACGAGTACAAGTACAACTACATTTACGCTACACTAGAGATAGATAGATAGATAGATAGACAGAGAGACAGAGAGACAGAGAGACAGAGAGACAGATAGACAGCTAGACAGAAAGATCATCCCAACCTGCCAAGACTTTGAGTAGACAGCCTCTGAGATGAATTTCTTTGTGAAAGAAAACGGGAGGTCAGGCTCTGATTACGCCAGGTGGCTACCGCCCTGTCTGGATGGCCTTTGTTCGGATTGCTGGCACAAGTGAGCTTGAGAAAGGTCCGTCCTGGAGTCCTGGTTGGATGATGTGTGGCTTCAAACCAGATCCACGAAGTTTATCAAAGTTCTATAGATCATCCAAAGAAAATATAAGAAAATAAGATGTGAGAAACATACGGCCACGGAAACGTATAGAATGATGTGGATGCTCAAGGGTTCGCAGCTCCATTGTGCCGGAAACAGTGCCCTTGCTACTGGTAAAATACCATAGTTGTGCGATGTTGTGCCTCAAGGTTGTGCACTCCCTGAATTAGATGTTGATGTTTATCGTCCGACAGAAAGGACATGGATGTGCGAGTTCAAGTTGCGATTGGTTTTTTGATATGATTTGGAGATTGACAGTTTGCCAAAACCCATAGGTTGACTTCCCCCACCCGTGTCAGGCAGGCGTGCTCGAGGGCATAGTGGACCTTGAGAGTTGCTTGGCTTTGGTGCATAGTGAAGTGATGAGGTGATCATGTAGAAGTGTGTTCTACATCGGCAATGGTAGTGCTGCATACATTGTATATTGACTGGTAACGACTGGTATTTGAAACTGTGACTGTGGAGCAAGCATGATGCAGTATTGTGGAGAATAGGCCCTTTGGCCTGGGTATGTAAACTCTGTTGCATACTGTGCACGCGCACAGTCCGCACAGTCACGCCCAAAAGTTAACATTACCATGTGGGTATGGATCAATACCTATAGATACCATTTTTAGTGGGATGAACATCCATTTACCAGCTATTTTGATGTTCACTAGGGGGATAGGGTTTTGACCCATCCCCATGTAGAACAATTGGCAAATGATGGGTACTTCTGGTCATGAAACATTGTCGCTGCTGGCACATCAAATCACATCAGAGATACAGTGGCGACAAATGGATACGGCGACAATATACACTGCTTTGACAAAATATGACACAATCATCCACCATGCAGAATACTCGTCAGATGACAGTAAAAAGGGTGCGTCACATCATATCACATCTCCATATGGATACTGTTTGATACTGTACATGTCGCAAATTGTCGCAATACACGATGTGCCAGGCATTGATGGCGTGAACAAAGGCCACCTTCCGGGGACGTGTCCGTTTTGGGAGAGTGAAAGTAGTTGTGAATGACCCAAATCATGCCACCATCAAGTCCTGTTTGATGTTGATATGTTACATCATATATTAGTAATTATTCTGTTTACCCTGGATGAACAGCACATCAATTCCCATGCATTTTACTAGTGGCAGTACCGTTCCGCATGGCTACACAAATCCGCACCAGCTAATCACGAACAGACCTTTCACCAAGGATATATGGAAGGAAATGGGGTCATTCTATTTTGGCCCAATAATAAACACGATTTTGTGGGGATATGTTTTTTCCAATGCCCATGCACCCAATGCCTTTTAAATCGGGATTCACTCGGCGATGGCCATGGTTCCATTCTCGGCCTCAGCATGGTTTCTGGCCTGATGTCATTTGGGCCCATTGACTTGGCAAAATCTGAAGTGACTGCTTGATTTTGCCTAAAGTATGTGTGGTCAAGCCTCACCGGTTTCAGTGGCTTTGGCTTGTAAGCCCGCATGGCATTTCCTTGGTCCAGCTTCATGTAATTTTCGTGAAAATTGTGCAACACAATCAAAACATAGTGGCTCCCAAAAGCTTGCCGTTGCAACAGTTGGCTTTAGAAAGATACCTTATAGCTTATAGATGCTTATAGGCTGTGTTCTTGCATTGTGCTCCAAAAGCAATTGTTGATTTTCTTGGACAAGCTTCAATTTAGCGAAGAGCCGATCAATTAAAAACACAAGGAATGACAAGCCAACATGTATAGATATGGTTTTTACCAAAAATCATGGCATCTATATCAAAAAAATATTACAATCAAAAACAAAATATTATTACATTAAAAAATATTATTACAATCAAAAAAAATATTCTCGGACAGGGGAAGGAAGGAAGGAACGAAGGAACGAAGGAAATGTATTTATTATTTGTGCAAATGTATGTTATGCTCCAGCCTGCCCCAACTCCCCAAAGATCAGGTTTATGGTCAAGTATCCCTCCCCTGGGGGGTGGAGGGGTGACACGTGGTATATCATCAGCACAAGAAGTATATGATATAGGCGATATAGGCAGTCTATGGGTGGTATATTATATCCAAAATTTTGAAATAGTATACGGATTATAGGTACGGTACAACCTATATATTATATGTAGGTAGGGATGGATGGGGCATGAGGAGTACAGAAGTATGGTACGTATATTGTTACGCTGGGGAAACTTTAGCAAAGAAGTGAAAAGAAGTAGTATGGAGATAGTTTGCTGCGCCCTCCCCCCCAATCCCCCTCCCCTCCCGCTTCTTTATTTACAACCAAGAGTGCCACATTCAAGGCACTTCAAACTACAGCAATACCCGTGAGAACAGGGCTTGTTTGTTTGAAACCAAGCTTGTGCGCTCGCAGAACACACTATTTGATTGCTGGGAAATATGTTTTTTTGATTGTATTTTTTTTTTGATACGCTTGCCAAAAATCATGTGCCTGTGCAAAAAATGGAAGCCATTGGAACCATTGCTGTGGAAAAACATGGGAAACCACATCCAATTTTGGAGGTTATAAGTTATAAGTACTTACTGTAGCTAAGGACTTGGGACTTTGTAACCTTGCCAACCTTGCTAACCCTGCTAAGTACTTCGCAGGCATAGGGTTCATCTAAGGTTGCTACCACAGCAGCCGTACCGGCTGCCAGAATTTCGCTTTAGCCATGGAGCGGAGCCCCACGTTTCGATTGTTCAATACCCTGCTGGCAACAATGGTGGCCATTTTGGTTGGTTTCTTTTGTGTTCGCTTAAAGGTTATCAAACCAGCTGAGGGGCACCTTAAAGGGTTGGGTTTTTTCATCGGCTCTATGGTCTTCCCGCTGTTGATCTTCAATACAGTGGCTACAGCTGAATTGCACTCGGTGAACTACGGGGTGATTGCAGCTTGTAGTCTCGGAAAGATCGCAGTGATGATTTTGACATGGCTATTGGCATATGTGACGTTTCAGCCGAAAAGGTCGCAAGGACAAAGAATCCTCACAGCCTCGGTGTTTGCCTTCTTTTCAGTAGCATCCAATGACTTTGCTATTGGCTTTCCAGTCATTGATGCACTGTATGATAAGGATATGAGCATTTACATTGCTGGCAATGCTTTGGTCGGCTCCTTTGTATTTATTCCGTTGACCATGATCGCATTTGCCATCGGCGGTGCCATCAGGACTGGAGAAGGGCAGAGCAACTGGCAGATTTTTGTCAATACCATGTATGATTTGTCCACGAACCCAGTGATATTCATGACCTTCGCTGGACTATTGTTCAAGATCATGTTCGGGTTCAGTCTTGTTGAGGAAAATGGCAAAATCAAGCTTCCTCACCCATTTTCGGACTTCATTGAACTCTTTACTTCTCCATTTGCGATGTCTGCCCTGTTCCTGACTGGGACGTCACTACGCTCTCCTCAGATTTCTGTTTGGGCGGTCGGCATGGTGCTAATGAAGGTTGTTGTATGTGCATATCTCAGCTATCTCTTTGCGACTTTCTTAGTCCATGGAGAAGGCGTGAAACCCCTACAAGACTTCACCTTCTTCTATGGCTCGATCCCTACGAGCAGTGCTCCAATTGTCTTTGCCAGTCAGTTCGACCCTGAGGCGGCTGAGTTGATTGCCACTGCTGTTCTTTTTGGCTTGGTACTGGCATGTCCGATTATGTTCATCACGGCCTACTCTTTGAACGAACAAGGAGACCCTACCAGCAGCATGACCATCTTACGCCAGGTTCAGTTCAGCGCAGATGCAGGCAGCATTTTCTGCGGACTAGTGTTTTGTGCATGCCTTTTGTTGATTCGACAACGCTGGAGCTTCACATGTCCTGCAAGGCAGCTGCTTTTCTTCTATGGACTTGTTTTGACAGCCTATGCAGCGGTGTCGCTTCCCATTAACCCAATCATTTCAAATGCAACATGTGAAGAGTTCAACGATGCGGGCCTGAGAACTCCATTGGTCGTGGCTTTTAGTTGGCTACAAAGCAGTGCATCCTGTATGTTACTGGCATTGCAGTTTATGTATCCCTGTGAACAAAAGGCGTCTTCAAACAAGCCTTGGAAAGGCTTTGGATTTGCTTGTGGGTGCCTCCTCTTTGCACTTTTGCCAGCTTTTTTCGCAACCCCAAATACAATCAACGAGATTTGCGACCATGAAGAGTCTGGGTCTTTGCAACTTTGCCTCAATGTGATTTGGTCTTGCGTCAAGCTGGTGATTGCTACATGTTTGGCCATCTATGCCTTGTGTCGAGTGCCCAGAGAAAGCACAAGCAGCGATTCTTCGTCTGAATCAGATCACTCGGTTGAGGATATCGAAAATTTGCTCCAGGTTTCTCATCAGGTGGCTGAGTTTCGAACCATGGCTCTCCACGTGAGGTCTGGAACTCTCAGTCGCCTCGAGAGCGGTGCGGCCGATTGGGGACGGTTTATACCCAGAGGCCAGGGACTTCCTGGACATTCCTGGACCATTTGATTCCGAATAGAAGTATGTGGTATTTGAAGGTGTTCAACTATTTGGCAGATGGTAAATGAATGCAAATGATATTTTAATATACTTTATGATATTCATATTCAGATTCAACATTGCAAAAGTTCCCCTTTTTTCTAAGATCGTTCTTTTACCAAAGATGCACAATGCATTGATTGAGAATTCAGGCATTGCCATGGCATCTGGGCTAGCTAAGACAGGTTTTGCATTGAAACAGAATGGTGCAAGGTGTGAGAGGAACTTGGTGGCTTTGATTGGCTAAGTAGGTGCATAGCGCATATCTGCATTCATGCACCCTGAAGGTGTGATTTTAACCATCACCATCATGAACATCGTGAAGGTGCTGACACAGGTGATCAATGCAGCTTTGGTCCATTTTGCTTTCAACGAGAATATGGGGAGCTTTGCTTCAATGCTACTTCTGGAATGTGCCTTGGAACATGCTCAGCTCATTGTTCTGATGGCCTCACTTTTCTTTGACGCACACTTCATGCCCTCCTATTGGCCATCGTACCTCAGATCTTCCCTCGAAACTCCTGCTGTCCAGCCAGGGCAGTCAGGGACACCACCCGCAATGGCACGTGGTTGGGTTGGTCCTTGATAAGGCAGCCCGATCCAAAGGACTGCGAGTGAGAAGGCCACTGGCCCATTGCGACCCTAAAACCTCACACTGAATTTTTTTGAACATTTGAATCTATGACCTGCAGAAAATCATGTGCAGTGCAACGGTGCACCTGCCACTTTATGACTTGAGTTTACGGAGTAGGAAAAGATGGAAAAGGGCTGCCGGAGTGACGGGTTCCTGGCAGAATCGAAGAGAGTCGAAAAGGTGGGTCACCAATGGTCGCCCCAGTCGCCCCAGTCGCCCCAGGCAGCGTTTACTTCACCGCCATGCGCAAAGCCATGGTTGCCTCGGACCTCACCGCCATGGCGGATGCGACGGTGAAGTGACCTGACCAGTTTGAAGTGGCAGCCCAGTTCAATGGGCCGTCTACGGAAATGAATTTAGATGAGTTTAGATTAAATTTAGATTATTTGGTAAATATACATTTCAAAAAAATATTAGATATACTAAATGTATCCATATATATATATATCTATACATATATATATATACACACGTACGCATTACAATCAAATTCCATGTGCCAAGAGTCATTGATAGATGACAAGCGCATTGACGCGGCTGAATCCTGCAGGGATGTGTGGTTCGCCACCTGTGTCAAGGCCTGAAAAACAGCCCTGATCAGCCCATATTTGGCAGGTACCTAGACAACCCCGACGTTGCAGGCATGGTCAAATGCTGCCGTTGGTTGATTCTGGCCACTATCTAACATGGCAAGAGGGAAAATATGTTTGAGACAGTACAGTAGTGATAAGTTCGAAGGCTTGGCCTGTTCAATCTCCATATATTTTGTTCCTTTGTCATCTTCAGTCGTTTAATAGCAAAAAGATCACTCTATCCACATTGTTTGATTGAATATCACCCGTGTTTCTTGATCATCTTATCCATTATTCCCAGTTTTGCTGCGGATAAAACATATCCTGATTCTATCATATCATGCATGTTCATTCATTTGGTTTACTTGGCTTACTTGTCATTTGAATCATTTCTTTCTTTTTCCATGTGTTTCCCCACCTGCCAGGTGAGGGTTGTTAGATTTTATGTCAGTTGCCTCCTCCTCCTCCTGCTCCTCCTCCTCCTGCTCCTCCTCCTCCTCTCCTCCTCCTCCTCGTCCTCCTCGTCCTCCTCGTCCTCCTCGTCATCCTCGTCCTCCTGCTCAACTGCGACCCTCGACGCACAGTGTTCTCTGTCGGACCTCAACCACGACCATCCATGCTCAGTGTTCCCTGCCGGACCTCAACCACGACCATCCACGCCCAGTGTTCCCTGCCGGACCTCAACCACGACCATCCGCGCCCAGTGTTCCCTGCCGGACCTCAACCACGACCATCCGCGCCCAGTGTTCCCTGCCGGACCGCAACCGCGACCATCCGCGCCCAGTGTTCCCTGCCGGACCTCAACCGCGACCATCCGCGCCCAGTGTTCCCTGCCGGACCTCAACCGCGAGTATCCACGCCAAGTGTTCCCTGCCGGACCTCATGTAGGAAGATATGGGACAAAGAATGTGCAGAAGAAAGTTAGAAAGAATGTCAGAAAGAATGTCAGAAGATATGCCAGAAGATATGCCAGAAGATATGCCAGATAATATGCCAGAAGATATGCCAGATAGAATGCCAGATAGAATGCCAGAAGATATGCCAGATAGAATGCCAGAAGATTTGCCAGATAAAATGCCAGAAGATATGCCAAAAGATATGCCAGAACATATGCCAGAAGATATGCCAGATAGAATGCCAGATAGAATGCCAGAAGATATGTCAGATAGAATGCCAGAAGATATGCCAGATAGAATGCCAGAAGATATGTCAGATAGAGTGCCAGAAGATATGCCAGATAGAATGCCAGAAGATTTGCCAGATAGAATGCCAGAAGATATGCCAGAAGCTATGCCAGATCATATGCCAGAAGATATGCCAGATAGAATGTCAAATAGAATGTCAGAAGATATGTCAGATAGAATGCCAGAAGATTTGCCAGTAAGAAAATGTATAAATGTCATGGTGGGGATCACACGAAGTAAAGTAATTTTTTTTAACACACATAAACCATCATCAACTTACCCTCTGGTAATTTGTAACATAGCTATTGAAAATGGCCATTTATAGTGGATTTTCCCATTAAAAATGGTGATGTTCTATAGTTTTTTGTATGTTTACCAGAGGGTATCCACACATTCCCCAGGGTCCCCTGTTTCAGGGGATGGTGGCGCCCTGGGCGCCCTCACAGCACTGGCCACCCAAGCAGCGGTGCAGAGCAACGTGCAGCACCTCGGCATCAAAAAACACAACATATGACCATATGCATATGCTGTACATATATATATAAATATATATATATTTATTTATTTAATTAATTTATTATTTATTTAATTAATTTATTATCTATTTGATTTATGTATTTATTTAATTTATTATAATATTCATATATAAAATTCTATATGTCTATATGTCTATATGTATGGAATTATATAACTTCTGAGTTTCACATGTCCTGTGTGTTTTCCTTTGTGAGAAAACATGTTCGATCACCTTTGATATCCCACCAAGCTATTTTGGTTGGTCAACCCATGCTATTCCAAGCAAGTCAAATTAGAGACGTATTCTCAATAAACAACTATTACATCATTCCAAACATGGCCCCAAAAATTAAATGGCAAAACATCTTTTGCCAATTGGAAGCGAATCATTTCAAATGGTGGTTTAATTGCTTAGCCCTTGAACAGGCATTTTGCTGCTTATATTCATTCTTATAGCGTAGTCAAATCGTGGCATTGGCAAATGCAGTTCCACATTTCACCAGCGTTTCTGATGCTCACATTTGCTCATCAGGCAGGAAGCCCAGGTGCAAATAATCCAATCTATGTTATATCCGTTCAATTCACAGTGGACACTATCACTACCGGTCACTACCGCGATGCCGGTGTGTCCACTGGATGTGGTCGTTAGGGAACGCCTGAACTTGATCAACGGCTTACAGGAGGCGCAATATGGGTGAATATGGGTGAATGCTGAAGGCACAAGTCAAAGGCACTGTTTATGAGGTGAATTTTCCTCAACTTGGAGGTGGCAGGTTTTAGGTGGCAATCCTTGCAGCTCCCGGGATTTGATGTCGGTTGTCCTTCAGCATGGGGTTGAGCCCTGCTGGTGACTGATGGTGACTGCTGATGGAGTTTGCTCTGATTCCAACTCACTCCTTTCGTGTAGGCTATGAAGAAAGCCGTGCACAACTCTCAAGATTTGGAGCCTGTGGCAGCTTGTGGCTGTGGCGGGTTTGCTGCAAAATCCTCCAAAATTTCCGGCGATGTTCAAGTTGTTTGTCATAGGATGTCCCAATCAGACTTCAATTTCGATCTCTAGCCCAAATCCCATATCATTCCAAGTCTCGACAGATCTCAGCAGAATTGTTTTTGAAGAATACCAGGCCTTCCGCCAATGCTCTAATCATGTCTGGAAGGTAATATAATTATAAAAGATATGTATATATTATATATTCAGTAACAAGATGTTACTATAGCACTTGCATAGCGCTGGCGATTAAAAACATTTTTTCCCGGACTTGACCTGTAGCCATGCGTATGTCATGCTCAGTGGCCAACCCCTTACACGTTCATGTAAAGTTGGCAGACCAGCGCATTGATTCCTCCGAATCGCTCCACTCTCCTCCTCCTCGTCCTCATCTTCCTTCCTATCATCAACAACAACATCATCACCACCATCACTATCACCATCACTATCACCATCACCAAGCATCAAGCAGATGAATTGAATACCTCACGTCTTCGCCTCATTTAGATCCTGGCGTCAGCAGGATCTGATGCTGGCGACCCGGTGGCCCCTTTGGAGCCGGGACCTTGGAGAATTTTTGTTGAAAGATTCGCAAAGATCATGAAGCTAGGAGAACTCGGCTGGGTTTGTTGATGTTAGTCACTGTTAGTGCCTGTTAGTCTTGTTGTTATGTTGATGTTCACTTGATGTTCATTTGCTTGAGGCGTTTCTTTAAAGCTCGTGACCCATTGGCAGAATGATACATACCAAAACAATCCAGAACAACCAGAACCCCTGTTTCTGTGGCAAGCCCCGTGATAAATTATGTCAATCATGAAATTCTAAAGGCTTTAAAAAGCGGATGGTTTATCAGTTTATCATGTGGTCATCCTTTTGTTACCCACCTTGCTGTCAAAGCTGGTCCCAGGTTTGATCCACTTCACGGTAGATGCCATCAGCGTAGCCCCACCGCCAGTGAAAGCATAGAGATCACACGAGTGTTGGGATGGCACAGGTTGCAGGTTGCACGACATATGACTAAACTTTGGACACACTTGGGACCTGAGTGCGCCCATAGAATTGGTGCCCCAGTTTGATGATGTACTGGATGTAGTTCCAGGCTTCCATGCACCCATTCACATGTTATGCAGGATGTGCCCCCGATTGCTTACCTTCACCATCCACTATTTACCAGACTTCCAAGAAGCCTTCGTTGTACAAGCACATTGTTCCAACGCCTTGGGTCAGCACAAGAAGTGTGATTCCGGGGTGCTGGCATCCAAAAGAAACCGCATCCGGATGCATCCGGTGTTGACCGGGTTGACCCTTCCTAAGCAACCAACAACCCCCTACTACATCTAAGTACTAAATTTGGAAGGCTAAAAAATCTACAGTATACTTTGGCCTTAGCTTACACACGGCAAAACTTCAACCACAGAGCGCTCCACGGATCTGGGCTTCCATGACTACTCAACTCTGGTTTTGGGTTGAAGCGTGAGATGGAAAACTGTCCGGCGACGCACTTGACTTCTCCCTGACAGGGCAGGGACCAGCACAATGGGGTGGGCAGCCTCACACCCACCTTGTATCTCAGTGTCATCGACTCACCTTGAAGAGTATGACATTGAAGAGTATGAATGGGTATCGTATTTGTATATGCGCATATGTATACATATATGTATACATAGGTTTTGATGGGTAAATCCTCATTATGTAATCACGATTAATCATCTATTTCTATGGATTGTTTCCATATGTCAAAAAACAGAAACGGCTGGATCGGACTTTGGCCGGCGCACTTGCTCTATCCTGCAGGACTCTTTTTGCATCTTCAAAGTAAAAGAAACGGCAAACACGCCTTTTACATATTGATAATAAATCAATAAAA